CTATCTCAGTGAATCACAGAGACCCATCCTATTATTTATCCAACCAATGGTAGTCACACATTGACAGAACAGTTGTTTGAACATTGTTTGAACAGTTTCTCGGTTCTGCAGCCCAATATTAACCATACATCACAATCAGCGAATCAGTCAAGTACTAACAATCCAAATCAGCCAGCTGCTTTGAACATCACAATTGCTAAAATGTCCATTGGGAATTCATTGTTGATTTTCTTACCAGCCAATGCATCCCAGGCCACAATTTTGGGAAGAAATGGATCCAATGCTTTCACATTCATAGTTTTATTGATAGCGAAATTGTACACAAATTCTGGACAATATCAACATCTTCAGCTTGGCCGTAATGGTGATTTAAATCAGTATTGGTTAACGTTGTTATTGTCAGCTATGGCCAGAGGCAAACAGCTATATGATGCTGTCACTCAAGGCTCTAACCAATTCTTTAGTGTTGCTGATGCAAGAAACCATCTTTTAGCAGTTATTTCTCCAGTTACATTAGAAGACACCTTTGATGTCACCTTWACATGTGAGAATCCTCAAGTGCCTCAGAGTTCTTTGAGTTTTTATTTGCAACGACTCGTTCTTGAACGTCCATTAGCAGCTCTTGTTATCATCGATGGGATGACAGTGTGTTTTGTTGGTCAAAACAATTGTGTTTACTTGATTGATAGTCACCCACATATCGATCACAGAAGGGCTTTTGGTGCTTTCGTTGGCATGACACCTGTGAATAACCTCRAAGAGTTYCGTGTCAATGTTAAACCGCAAATTTCGCCTAATTTCAATGTCTGTTCATTACAGTTCGCATCGTTTTGATTGTATTAATTTAGCATAAACAGTGCCTTTACTCTAAAAAAAACTACTTGAACGTTGAAATGAAGAGAAAATAAATCAAGCTTCCATTTGGGAAGCACAAATGTTTGTTTTGATGTCATTTTACCGCATAAATTCCTAATAGTTTTGCTCGTAATCGAACTCTCCTGGTGGTTTTGACCGCCATCTTGGATTTTAGAGGTCGCGCATGCGCAAACGTTTGACYGTGGTGTCCGGTTGCAAAATAAATTCTCTTAAAGGAGCCGTCCCGGGGTGATGCTTTGCGCGCTTATGTTATTGTTTACATACGGCATTTGTCCAACGTGTAAAACGAATAATACCAAAGTATCTTTAATATTTTCAAAACTTTTTTACTAGATCTCGATTTAAATTGCCTGTTTATGGCCAAAACTACACGCTGTGAATGCATTTGGGTCATCGGTAGCTAATTARGTGTTGAATTAGACGTTTCTTCGAATATTCGAGCCATGAAACGGACGTCGAACAAGATGAAGTAGCGACCGATCAAGCTCGCCAAAGGAGTAGAAGTGCACTATTCATAACTCTATCATTAATGAGTATTCGTCTTCTCTTTGGTAGTAGAAATAACGGCTGATTTGTATTTTTATCGTGGCTTCAGTATAGTTTTGCTCTTGCAAAAANACAGTTAACAAACACTTTTTTTCAAAATAGAAGGCTTTGTAAACATTATGTATTGCGTGCCGTTCATATTTGTTCGCGAACGTATGGTGTCGGGAGCTAACTGCGAACCAAATGCGAGCAAAGTGAGAACAAGTCGCAAGCAAATTGCGAACAGTTCGGGAAAGGMGGTACATTTGATTCCGGGCGATGCTGTACATGCAACTCCACGCGGTACTGTAGAAGTCACATGCATTAGATTCTATACGGCCGACACTTTGTATTTTTTCTTGAAAACAAAGCAGTGCCACTTCAGAGTTATTCCACGAAATCTTCGTACCTGCGTTCTTTCCTCTCATTCCATCGAAATATTACGAATTAACTACACGTTTTTTTGGATAATAGGTTAATTTTGGTGAGACCATTCGCCAATATTGATCTTACATTCATATAATAGAGAAACTTATAAGGTATAAACTCACTTTGATTTAGCATTGCCTCTACACACSATGTTCTCGATGGGCATCCTTCCTCGCACACCGCGGTCTACTATCCCGTCAGCCCTTGTATCCACTGTATCTCAATCGATACCACAGGAAGACCAAACAAAAACAATATTTTTGAAGGCTCCCCAATCAATCAAAATCGCTCAAAATTGAAAGAAATGGCYTGAAACTTCACAGAAATGTAACGAAAAACCCAATAAACAGGTAGAGATGTTTATTTTTATTTTAYATTTTAAATATTTCTAAAAAGTTCACAAATGCCTAGCTTGGGCTACCTGTGATATTTTCGAAATTGTGTCTTACAACATGAGAAAAGGGATGGGGTGCCTGAGGCAGTGTTGTTCTTGCCAACCAAGATGGCGGACAAAACAACACAAAAGTGGTTTGGTTTTTCGCATTTTCCGCTTCAAATTTATCCATAGGAGACCTKTTTCTTCTTCAAAATGGATAATGAAACCGATGAAAGGCAGGATGGCTTYGTTGCAAGCTTGGACCAATTCTTTACTAGCATAGAACCTGTTTTGAAAGAAGCAAATACAATCGARGCTGCAGAAGATCTTTTGACAAATTTAGAAACCACTGACGAAAACTTTCACAGGTTTTAACTTATCTTATTTGAAATTAACGGATACTGACTATATTACTTGTAAATCGTTTGAAATAAGATTTTATTTAGTCTTGTGTAATTAGAATTTGACAAGTGAGCTTTTCTTGCTTCTATTCTTCTTGCTTTAGATACGAGTTTGTTCGTAAACTTCGGGCACGTATCGACAAGATACTTGGACCTTTGATTGATATGAAGCTTGAAAGTCTTTCAGGAGAAAGTGACAGTAACACTCTCCTCTCACAAGTAGCTGATGAAATACAGACATCCCAAGAGTAAGATTGACATCAGTTTTTAACAATGTATTCGCTTTCAATTAGGCAGAGTTTTTCTGCTGACATTTATTTCTAGTCAGCTTTCACCCTGTACTTAGGGGCAATCCATCAAAAGGGGCTGGGAGGGGGGGCATAGCTGTCAACCCAGCTAAAGACTTATAAGTACGTATAATTCTCTTTGTTCAATCGAAATGYAGCTTTGCTTTCTGTCCATGCACCCCTCCCCTCCACTTTGTGCCGTTACGTCACATACCTACGTAGTTCACTACAGGAAATCTCCAGAAATGAAATCTCCAGAAATGAAAAGTTGGTGATGACAGTTATGGGTTTGGCGTGTGTGGAAGATTTTGTTGTGCAAGAATTTTTTTGGGGGGGGACTTAAGTCACACACTGTTTTTCGTAAATTTTCAAAAGCTTTAGTGGAGATTTTTCAAAATTTTGCCTTGCAGGTATTTTTTTCGGCCTTTCAGGCCTGTGCAGGAAGTTTTTTCAAATTCTTCCCCCTCCCCCCTCAAAATTATAATGGAAATCCACTTATCAGATTTTATATTATATAATTATAGCCTTTGTTGACATRTGAATTGCATACCAATCCTATATTAGGTTTATAAGCCTTCAGCAGTCTGTTTTGGCTGATACCAAAGAAGCTGTAAATGTACTAGTAAGTCTCAATGATCATGCCAATCACCTACACTGTAATCAAAMAGCTACAGTGTCTGGTTATTACTCTATTTTGGGGTTTTATACAAATTTTTGTCCTTAGTATATTAAACAATCTTCGAGTTGTGTTGYAGTTAGTGGCTTACTCTTGGAAYCATCCTTCTCCCCATTGAGAAATAGTGTTTTTAATTTACACACAAGCAATAGACTCCACCATATCATGTTGTAAACTATACATAAAATGTAGATAAGAGAGTGAAATTGTTGCCACATTAATCATTTGAAGTATCAGAAYCATATTACAGCTGCAGCATGTAAAATATTATTAACAATAGGTGGAAACCAGAAAATTATTCACAAGGTCAGTTATTATGCCATTTTTTAATTCGAMGGTACAGAAGTATGCCAATCCATTGCAACGAGGAGCTAGTGATTTTGACTTCAGTGACCACAAGACAAAGATGCACACTGTTAAAGATTCATTAGATCTTAGTGATGATCAAGAATCTTTATCTTCATCTATTGGCCAAGTAAGTGAAAAGATATATAAAATTACTTAGGCCCAATTCATACGTTGTGCTATTGTCGAGCCGAATATTATTATAGTCAATTTGTTTCGACGCAAATACATTCGGTACAGCGTTGATTCATATGTCAAAACAAATGCAGTCAAAAGCATAAGACAAGATCTGATAACACACAATTTACATCCATTATTAGTGTCAAAAACAGATATTTTTGTGCATTACGTTTGACACGGTAAAAGCTTGACGTATGAATCAGCTATGAGCTTTTGCCGTGTCACCGCTACGGTCGCGCTGAACACAACTGATTCATACRTCGAGCTGTTCATGTGCTAAATACAAACCAATTGGTTCGGCGCAATGCTGGCTCGACGTATGAACGAGGCCTAAATCATTATTATATATACTGTGCCTTTTAACATGGTTTGAACTTGAATAAAAGAATGCTAAAGTACCCAATAATCCAAAAAAATATTTAATTTTAGAATGAACTAGATGATCAAAGAACACATTACATGACACCTTGGAGTGTCTGTATTCTATTTTTCCCAACAACAAGTTATCAAATACATGAGGTGCCATATGTATTTGGTTCCTCACTCTGGTCTATGTACCACCACAAACTGTATGTTATGAATTCATTATTGTTTTGAAGATGGTCAATTCYATGTTGCGGACATTACCTTCAGAGGCAAAATATGGCTACAAAACTGATCAAAACTTCTAACTGCAGCAAGCTAGGTGGATCAAACTTTGCTATAATTAAGCTCAAGGGGGCYCTCACACTATGTATGTGAAAAACACCAGATCCCTCCTTTCCCTCCTTAGATATTTTATTTATAGTGAAGTGACTGTTGCGGACATTACCCTAAAAACAACCATGTATTCAAGTGACTGCTTTTAAGCTAGAATTGCTGTGAATTGTKAAAAGCTTTCAAGAAACTAAAACTCTGACTRGTTTAAGTAATGATGGGGGTTCAATACTGGCCATTAAAACTTTGTTATTTTMTATTATTGTGGAAACTATAGACTAATGTCTTTGTTGTGGACATTACCTAAWAAGTGTTGYRGACATTACTTTTTTGGGATGGTATAGAATTATAGCAAAAAATTTGGCAGGAATCAATATAAAATGTTAAAAAAGTATTCAATAACTACTTTATGCTTTGACTGCTTTTAAGCTAGAATTGCTGTAAATTATGAAAAGCTTCCAAGAGACTAAAACTCTGATTAGTTTAAGTAATAATGGCCATTAAAACTTTATCATTTCTATATTTGTGGAAGCTATAGACTAAATTCTTTGTTGCGGACATTACCCCATAAGTGTTGCCGACATTAAATGTTTGGGATAGTACAGAATTAAAGCAAAAAATTTGGCAGGAATAAATATAAAATGTTAAAGTGTTTAATAGCTACTTTATGCTTAAAGAACAGTCATTTTAGGTAATAATTAAAACAAAAAAATGAGCATAGCAAGAAAAAAGGACTATTCATTGAAAGTGGAAAGTCACCAATTAAATTTTAGATTTTGTTCAGTGTTATTACATGCAAGCATGCCTTAGAGGAGTGCTTTAACTTTGAAAATAAGTACTTTTTCTAAAAAAAATAGCAATATTTCACAAATGAAAATGGCAAAAGTTGAAATGGTAATGTCCACAACGGTAATGTCCGCAACAGCATATCTAGTTAATTAATTTTTGGTCACTTTTCTTTTGAAATATTTGTTCACATGTTAATCTAAAAGAGCAGCAGTAATGAGATCATGCTGAGAGTAATTGTTGAGTTGCAAATGAGATTAAAAGCAGTTTTTGTTGCGGACATTACCCTCTTGCATATCAAAGTTTTGAGGCCTGAATAAACAAGCTGAAATGTTGTAAAGAAAATTTGGCAATTGCAAAATGATTATTGGAGTCTCTTAGTGCTTGAGGATTTGTATTTGCACCTCTAGGCATATTTCCAGTCCATAATCATGACAGATAAAATCTACATGTAAATGGCTCAAGATTCTCACTAACACTATGCCGCGTTTAATGCCCTGCTGCAGAGCGGGTGTGGTCATTTTTTTAAAATAAACTGTGATTTATGTTAATTCAGTATATTGACAATAATAAAATATGGTTTTGATAAAGACTTAAAGGTTTTTGAAATTCAAGATTTTTCTCTGTCTCATGTGGAATTGACCCTATATTTTTCTTACTTTTAGTTGTAAGTGCACTTATTTTCAAAAAATAAATATGGGATTCCTGTGGCAATATGATGAATTAATGATAGCTGATTTAAGTCTATGTACATACATGTAGTACGTGTACTTCGAGTCTACTAAATTTATTTGTGTGCTTTTATTGACTAAACATTGTGTAACCTTTTCACTATTAGTGCACRAAAGATTGTTGCAACAAAGATTATTCATTGCAAATGCCTTGCTAAATGTCTCAGTCTTTATAAGTTAGAGAATAGTACCATTTATTTTTTTAACTATTTCTGTAAATTACATTTAGGTTGGATATATGTTTATGTCCCAGGAGAAGTCTGGTAAAATTGCTGAAAATTTGCATCCTTTGAAACCTGTTCAAGTAAGTTCTTTCTAATTATTATATGTACACCTACTTGCAGAAATGTTGTCATAGAAAATAGAACATTTGAAWKTAGTAAAAAGGAATTAAAATAACACAAAAGAGAGAGTGTTCAGAAGGCGCATTTTTTTATTAAGTGAGAAAGTATTTTGGTAGACAAAATTATGTGAGAATTCTGTTCTATTCAAGGTTAAGAGTGAAGCATTGACATCTTTAGCCCAAGTACCTCAATCTGATGTTATCACAAGTGAGCATTGGCCTGCCATCAGAAAAGGTCTCTTAGCAGCGTTAGCTGATGATGATGACCACCTGTCAGTAAGTATTGTCGACAGTGATCATGATTACCTTACATACCAAATTATCACAACTAAGCACTCATACATGTTTGATATCAAGGATATAGTTCTAAACAAACTTTTATACATAATATGGAAAACAGACTCTTTGTGTTTCACACTAAAAAACAGAGGTTACAAAAATGATGACTGTGMTAGAAGAGAAAGGGAAAAAATGACATTCATTGAAAAAAAAGAAAGTCAGAGATAAATTATGTTAAGATGTTCATTTGCTCTTATTTCTTGAATGTACATATAAATTTACTGCTTATAATTACTTGAAACACATAATGCATACACATCTATATAATGAGGACAAGTGGGTAAAGAATATATTTTTTCCTGTTATGTATGTCCTTTAGAATGAGTGCAAACTAAAATATCAAGCTTCAACCGCTTCTTGTTTAATCAGCAAAGAATATTTGAAGTAATGTTATATTGTAGTTTTGGAGCCAGATTTCTTTACTGATTAGAAGCATTATGATCATTGTGCACATGTTTCTGTAAATAAAACTACCCCGGGGGGACTCCCTAATCTCAAAGGGCGGAGGTCCTCAGCGGAAATTATGAAAATGACCCCTAAGAGGGACCTGTATTTGGAGATGATGGGCGTGGCAGTGCTGAAATTTCAGCCCTAAAAGGGACCAAAAATCCCGTCTATTAAGGAGTGTGAAGTGACAAGACGTGAAATTAATAAAATAMACTCAATTATTTAATTAGCAGCTGTGGTTTTTGATCTCATAATGACGGCTTAGGGACGTCATATACCCTAAAAGGGACCACAAAACTCAGTTGGTGGGAATTCTCGTCATTATCACCCYAAGCGGGACCAAAATACCGATTTCAAACCCTAAAAGGGACGCCGAGGACCCCCGCCCTTTGATATTTGGGAGTCCCCCCCCGGGAAAACTACAGTCACGTTTGTTATTTTTCTCACAAAGTTATTGAGTAACAATTAACTCATAGTGAAGTGGAATGGTCAATTTTTTTTTACTTTTTTTGTCATACTTAAAAGTATGTATTTTTATAGGAAAAAAGCCTTAAATTCCATGCAAGAATGTTCCTTTGTTCAACTTCACATGCAACAAGAGAAATCTACACTTGTTTGGGTTAGCTTTTTTTGTTAATATTTGATTATTTCAAATTTTTTTCAGAATCAAGTTTGTGATGTCTACCAATCCTTTTTTTGTGTATAGCTATTTCAAGAAAGGTTGTTGGATAAAATGGCGAATGTCAATTGTCCAACAGTGATTTTATGACCGAAAGGACCATGGGTTTTGCTTATTTATAAAAATTACAACTTATTTATACTTTAAAAAGATAGTCTGTGGTAAACATTTGCTTAATAATAATTYAGTCTCCATTTCTTATGCAAGGTGAATCCAACATTAGTGGAATTTTGTTTGTCAAAAACAGTCTAACCACAGTCCCTTTCGGTCGTGCAATCASCCTTTGACAATCGTGGTTTGCCTTTCACCCCTGAAACGTTTTTTGAAATAGCTRTATTTTAGAGTYCAATTTTTTTTAATCAAATATTTGATTGATTGCTTACTTGTATCTGACTTTCAGCTGAGCATCTTTGGCACTGTTTTAATAACAAACCTGATATGATGGTTAAAATAGAGCAGGGAATCAATGTACAAACTAAGAATAACACAAGATTAATAAAAAGAGTGAGTTCASCTTTTTTTGTATYTTTGTAATTGTTGTTTCACTTGYTATTATTAGTCAAAGAATGTGCTTTCATTTGCTGTTAATTGTGCAGACAATGGAAGACTACTTTTATTGTATTTTGACAGCTATAGACAAATGGATGATTGTGATTATTATAACCCTCTGAGGTGTTAGGTGGTATTGCTTAGGCTAGGTGATCAGAATTCTACCAMCTGGTTAGCATAGAATACAAATAATAAGTTACATTTGTTAATTAAAAGAATTATGAAAAGACTGAAATTAGATACCGGGACATTTCTACTATAATTATAAGCATCATGTTTTTTTTTTCCTGTTGTAACTACTGTATTGTCTAGTRTATAGTATTTTTAGTAAATGTTGTGTTTTAAGTTTCTTCAGAGCTAAAGTTGACATTT